ACAGCTATGAAATTAAAGGCCATTGAAATGTTCATTTAATACATATAACAATGCTGAGCATGTGGGAAAACAGGAGGCTGGTTCACACGGCTTCATGGAACTCATCCCTTGACTATTTCAATTTGTATTGGCAGCTACAAATTAATTGTATACTTTACGTGCATTGTCATTTTGGAAGTTTATGAAGTCCAGCTTGTATAATGGTTCACTTTGATTATTGAACAGTTAGTCAACACACCCATAAGAGTCCCTATCTAGACAAGGCGATCTAGTTAGTATGAACATGGAGAATTAGATCAATCATGGTAAACGTAAATAGTAATATAAGACAATAAACATAGGGACAATAAAAACCACCAACTATGCAAATCAACTGGTAATAGATTGTTCTAATTCAATTAGTGATCTCGGGTTAGTAGTCTCGAGTTCGAGACTCTGGAATTACAATGTGTTAAAATTTAATAAGGAGAATTTTGTCTATTATATAATTATACCAGACTCGAATCAAATTAGTTGAGTTGATGAATCAATAAATAATATAAAAAAAAAATTAGAAAAACTAAGGGACTATTTTTCATGGATTAAATAATAGGGATTATTAAGCACCTGCATTATTGAGTCAACATATCAAACCTCAGTCCTGCTCTTTAAATATCGAACCATTCTTGCTCTTTTTGCAGCACTTCAGATTCTGAGCAATTTGCAAAACACAAACCATATACTATCACTTTCACTTTCTCATCATCAGTCATCATGTTTCGTCGTCTATTGGGAAACTTTACGCCTGAAATCGTAGTTCAAGCACTGAATTACATGCCCAGCCTAGCTAGATCATCGTTCATGTAACTAGTTTCTTCTTTTACTTTTGCTATCTCCTTTACAGCATCGTTTGTTCCTATGGTTCAAACCTTTGTTTTAGAACTAATAGACATTAATCTCATCTATTTTCTAACTTCAAAGTAAACTTTGATGAATTTCAATAAAAGTATAGTGTTCGGAATTCAAGTGTGTAGTGAAATCTAACATTGGTTAGGAAAGGGTTAATGATCTGTAAACCTAATGTCTTAAGGTTTAAGGTTTCGGATCAAAATGTAATGTCTAAGCCCACTTATTGTGATGAATTTGTTGTTTAGTCTGTTATTGTAGTTCTCCCCCACCATGGAATCTCTCTGTTATCCAAAAATATTATCATTATTGCTTCAAGGGCCACTCTCAAAGTAATATTCTATAATTCGGTAGATAAATATGTTAAAGCTGTTTTATGCGGTATATATAAGAAGGTGCATATTCTTATTATAGGCAAAGGTAGATGTTCTGCATATGCATAGAGCTTTCGCACAGAAAATGAAACTTGAATTATGAACTAACATGATTGTTCTTTGGAATCAGAAAGCGTGGAGGACCAAGAAAGTCAGATATCAGCAAGGGAGGTGGAGGACAAACTAATGGGGTTGGAACAAAGAGTACCATGCTGAATAAGAGTTTGGCCAGCAACTCTAAATAACTAGAATGATTAATTGATTATGGAAGTGGAAGCTAAAGTAATAACAAGGTCAACGCTAGCTGCGAAAGAGGCCAAGAAGTGGGTGATTATAAACAAGTATTGTAATTTTGAAGTTTGCGAATTAAATATACTACCTAGTAAGCAGCTTTAAGAGTAGTGATCAATTTGAATGTTCGTTGTGTTCAGTGATTATTAGATGAATGATTTGGTAGCATGGGACAATAAAAAAATGTGTAGATTTCAGCTCGTCATTGGTGTATTAGTGAATAACTTATAGCGGGTGTAGGATATTTGATAATAAGAGAATTTGACTTTGTTTCATTTCTTGTTGAGCATATATTAATTCTTGAAAAAATTTATCTGTAGCTTTTCCCTTTTCCTTTACCACGCCATGCCAAAAAGACTTGAATCTTGGAAGGAAAAGTTACATTTCAGAAGGCCATCACGGGAGCACCGAAACGTGAAAACATCTTAAATCAAATTGATATCACAAAACAGGAATAAAAAATCTTTATTGTAAAAAGTTTAAATTCTGTTTCTCTTAATCTTATTGCTAAAATCAAATTCTTAGAGATTATCCCTCAGCATAGGTTTTCTATAGACTAATTCAGAGTTTCGGGTAAGTTCAAGATTAAAACTTTAAATCCTTCCCAAAAATGATAATTATGGAAAGGATTATGCTCTTACTCAACCTGCTCAATTCTCGTACACTAATTGAACTATATATCATCATTTGGTCAAAAATCAATTTTAAAGTTAACATTTAGTCCAAGTCTTCTTTCATAACACTATTCTACCAATTTGTAAAAAAATAAAATAAAATAAAAATTAAAATTGTGGACAATTTTGCAATTTATATAAAAAAAAAAAAGCGCACAAATTTACATCCTCTCATGTTCCTTATCGTGTTATAGGAGAAATATAAAAAACAGGAAAATGGATGATCTCTCATGTTTAAAAAAAATGACATAGTCATGTGGGATAATCATAATTATATAAAGGTAAATCAATAGTTATGATTTAGTAACTACTTATTTTAATATATTTTTTCTCTATACTCTTTTATCATCATTGATCCACTTTTGCATGGTTATAATTATCCACATTACCATATAATATCTTTTTCAACATGAAAAGATCCATTCCCGAGAAACAGATTCAGTGGAACCTACACGAATAATGATAAATTTTATCATAAATATTTTGTGTCCTTTTCTCTCATAACACATGATAAAGAAAATGAATATATTTAAATCTAAATAAAATTCTATTTTTCCTTATTTAAAATATCTTGAAAGTAAAATATAAAAGAGCACAATACTAATTGAATAGATTGCTTGTCACTTATTAATAGTTATTTGTTGGTTATTAAATCAACATTTTCCCGCAATATTCTATTCTATATTTTTATTATGATAATATATCAATGTCTATAGCTTGTCTGTATTATAACAGTTTTCTTTCATATTTGGTTATATTCGTTTAAGATAATGTATTTTGCTTTTCTTTACTATCTTTTTCATCCACTCTTGTTTGGGTGGACGCCTCTTGTTAGTTAAGTCAAATGTAACCTAAGTCTGAGACAGGACTAATATAATTTGGACCGACAATTTCTTGACCTAGGCTAACTTATGTAATTTATGAGCTATTTGAATTGGCGTTACATTTCTTTTATTTATTTATATTATTATAGTTTAAAATACTAATTTTAAATTTTTTATTTCACTTATATTATATTAAAAAACTTAAAAACAATTGGTAACCAAAAAACACTTAAATTAACTTACATTAAAAAGTTAAAAATAATTATTATTAAAAATAAATAAATATTAGTATTAAAATGAGAATTAATATTTCTCATACAAATAACAGATAACTTTATCTTAAAACATAGATGATAATGAGTAAGGTTAAGAAAAATTGAGTTCCACCCACATACATTATACAATGGGCTTAACATCTCTCGTGGTTCAAATTTTCCTGTAGAGAAAATATTTTGAGAGACTCACAAGTTTTTGACAAAAAAAATAAAAATTGTAAATATGAAAATCGAGCTGACACAAAGCGACATGAGAAGTTGCTTTGAAGGACTTTCATTGAAATAATATACTCAGTACCGCCAAGAAAGTTTACAACATTTACAACTAACTTAATTATTGTTGATTTTCGTTAATCTAATGATTATCATTTATTAAAAATTATTGGGTCGTATTTATTAATTAATTATTAATTCTAATAAATGATAATCGTTAGATTGACGAAAATTAACGATAATTAGATTGATTGTAAAAGTGATAAACTTTTTTTGATTATAAGTATATCTTGTCCCTTTTGATAAACTTAAAAATTAAAAATTATAATGATTAATTATGTCAATTTAATATTTTTGTGAACTTCAATCATGTAATTTATTCTTGTTCCATTTTGTGAGATACAAGCGACAGAGCTGTCAAAACGGGCCAGCCCGACCCATTTAGCCCTAGCCCAAGTGGGTTAGGGCCAAAAAGCCCACAATGATCTAGATCCACACGGACCAAAGCCCTGTGGGTTAAGGCTAGCCCGCGGGCCTTCTAAAAAAATAATATGTATTTTTTTAAAAAAATATTTATAATAAAATGGTGCATAAAAATTATTAGAAAAAATAAAAATAAATAATTTTTAGAAAATTGTCACTTTTTAAAACAATTATTGCATAGAAATTTTTTCGTAAAAAGTTTTGACAGAAAACGTTTCTGTAAGAAAATTGACGAAAAAAAAATTCGTCAAAATTCTTTGCAGAATATAAATTCCGTAAAAGTTTTTGACGAAAAAATATCCATCGAAAATTTTGACGAAAAAAGTTTTTGTTGAAATTTTTGACGAAAAAATTTTCTTCAAAATTTTTGACACAAAAATTTACGTCGAAATTTTTGACGAAAAAAACTTCCGTCAAAATTTTTGATGAAACACATTTCCGTCAAAAAATTTTGATGAAAAATATTTTTGACAAAATTTTCGATAAAAAATATTTCTATCAAAATTTTAAACTGAACACATTTTTGTTAAAAATTTTCCACGAAAATTATTTCTGTAAAAAACTTTGACGAAAATATTTCTGTAAAAAATTTCAACGAAATAAATATTTTGTCAAAAATCTTTACGAAATTTAAATTCCGTCGAAAGTTTCACAGATACATTTCCCTCAAAAAATTTGAAAAAAAATATTTCTGTTGTAATTTTCATTGGGTCACATTTTCATCGAAGATTTTGGATGGAAAATATTCCGTCAAATTTTTTGAAAGAATTCTTTTTTCCGTTAAAATTTTTGATGAAATTTTTTCGTTGTAAATTGGGTTGAATATTGTAGCCCGTGGGCCAGCTCCAATCTAACCCTATAATGAGAGGGCTTTAAAAGGATGAGCTTAAAATGACCCCATTACATAGAGGGCTAAAATTTTATATGGTTCGCCGTAGGGCTTGAGCCTTTTTAACAGCTCTAAGCGTTTCCTCTAAAACCCCAGAGCCAAAGCTCCAAAAACCCCTTTCACATTCTGGGTTTCTGCACTGCACTGATCAAGCTCACACTGTCACCATTTCCATTTCCATTATCATGTCTCTATTCAGAAACATCCTTTCTCGCCGCTTCCACACACTCCTCAACCCTCAAAACCCTCACACCCTTCACTATTCCCTCAAATTCCCACACAGACCCATCACATCCTTGCCCCAAACCCAAGACCCAGTTGCCCCAAAACCCCAATTCAAGCAAAACAAGAAGCCCCTCCATGCTCTCTTCACTGAAGCCGTGGGGCTCTCGCAGAAAACCACAACCATCAACGAAGAAGAAGAAGAAGAAACCGAGTTGAAGAAGGAACTGAAGCAATTAGAGGAAGAGGTGAGGAGCTTCAAGGAGAAAACAAAAGGGGTTCCAAAGAATGCTGAGAGGAAGAGCTTAGTTTCTCTGTTTACCAATCAACCTGCTAATGCTAGGGCTAGAACAGAAAAGAAAGTGAAGGTGAGGGAGCCTATGGTTTTTAAGGAGCTTTCACCAGATATGGAATTGTTTGTGCAGCATTTGTATGATAATGGGTATTTTAAGGATGCCAATTTTGCCAAGGGTAAGCAAAAATTTGATCCTGCTTGGTTTGAGAGTTTTTTTGCCAGGGGATATATAAAGTTTGCAGCACAGAAATTCGCTAGAGATAACCGAGAAATCGCCAAGTAAGATGACGATAACTTCTTTGTATATTTTCTCTTTTATGTTATTATTGTAGATGGTTGCCTTGATATGTTTAATTTTATTAGAAGATGAATATAAGAGACTAAGAATCAATAGCATTTGGAATGAAGCTTTTTCAAAATTCAAAAGAAAAAAAAAATCTATTTTTTTCTCTCCTTAGTGACTAAGGAAGTTCTGATGTTTTCAACTTTTGGGATAACTCTGGACGTTATTAGTTTATTTTGGGGTAATCTACCATCCTAATAGTAAGGATATTGTTGTTCAAAGTTCATGGGGTTGTCATGAGACAATATCTGGTAAGGGTTCTCAGGAAGCTTTCTTTTCTTGAAATGATATGAGTTGTGGTCTATGAAATATCATTCTTCATGTCTAATATGGTGAAATGTCAGATTCAGATTATAATTTATGCGTGTATACCTGTTTTTAGCATACCTGAGTAGTCTGTGAGATTGCTATTAGTTAAAGGGGTGCCTTTCCTCACCCTAACCTTTATCTTTTTGTTTCTCATATCTTTGTCTATTTGTTTATTTTACTTATCAAGTAAGTTTAGTGTTCAACATGGGGTTGCATGACTTGTATCAAATCTGACATGGCTGTTTCAGGGTGTTATAATTTTTTTATAAGATGTTCTGAGTTGTTTTGTTCTTGATATGCTTGTCATTTGGTGTCTAGTTTGGACAATTTTGTTATTATCTATCAATGTCAGTTTCCTTCATTTATGCAAATATGTGTATGGCTATCACTATATAATATAACTTCTTGACACTCTTATGCATGATGCCTTAAGCAGCCACTTTCTCTCTAGAGTTTTCAAGTGATACTCTTGCTACCAATGTTTCACAGAACTGACAGATGAAAGAAAATTTTAGGAGATAGAATTTGTATTTTTGTGGTGCATAATGTGAATTATCACATTTACTGAACTATATCTGAGGTCTTATTCTTTTTTTCTATTTAATTATATTTAGTTTCTGGCTTAATGGCACTTGTGGTCCTATACTTTCACTTTCACGTTTCACCATAGTTTGATAGCAGCCCCCCAGTTTCAATTACAACAATGTTGCCCTCATTGTCTCCAAGTTGATACATATTGGCATTGCACTCATTTTGCTAATGTGTCATTGTGCCATTACATTTTTTTTGGGCGTGAAGGAGTAAGTCATACATTGAGGAAACTAGTAAGAGCAAAAAATGTTATTATACTTGCTAGTTTCTTAAGATTATAAGTTCTTTTAACTTACTCAATTAAAGGGTACATGTTTTTTATTTTATTTAGGAGAAAGGGGATGTGCCTCAAGGTGAATAAAATATAATATCAAAATTATGATTCAAATATGCTATTTTAAAGATTTGACCATTTGTTCTTGATAATGATGATAATGAACATTGGAGATCTCCATATTTGTAATACCAATGGGGGCTGGAAAACATTATTGATGTTTTTGTGTTACTTTGTGAAGCCGATGGCAGTCGGATAACATTAATGATACCACCATGGCGTGGTCATGATGCATGCCCCTTTAGATAAGATGTAGCACTCTATAAAATTCTGTGTTTGTGAGGGAAGGCGAGATTAGTGATAGTTATAATATTGGTTGTATCGATAAAAATCATATTTTATATAAAGTTATTAAATGATATAAGAATCTTAAGCCTTATACCAGTGTAACTTGATCCCTCATACTCCTATTGAGTTTTTTTTTCTCCCCTTTTTTTTAATATAAACTCACCCCCTCCCTTTTGCTAATGGTTTCAGGCAAGATATACTGCATTAGGTAGGACTCAGGATGAATTTTTGTGAATTAGTCAAGGATATATTTTGTTTCAAGTATGCTAATTTCTTGAACCAAGTTGTCTTGATCTTGAAAAGAAGGATATTTTTAATATCTACGATTTTATTGAGTTGAAATTCTGTACAGACATTGTTTGGGATGATAAATTATTAATATTTTTCTTCTTAAATCGGAGGGTTTTACCACGGTGTATGTATACTTTTATGAGATGGACTGCCTTGTATTGAGTGTTGTAATATAATATTTATTAAAAGTTTAATGATATTGTTGAGATATATAAAACCATTAATGTACCTCACCCAACAGCTTAAGCTTTTGGGATGAATTGGTTCTTTACATGGTATCAGAGCCTCGTGTCCCGGGTTCGATCCTCACCGCCCCCCATTTTCTTTCTAGTGGAATTTCTTTCTTCGCACAAGTAGGTGGGTCTGTGCATTGTCCACCCTTCAAGCCTAGTGGACTCTCGTGTGAGGGGGCGTGTTGAGATATATAAACCATTAATATAACCTCACCCAACAGTTTAAGCTTTTGGGATGAATTGATTCTTTACAGGTATAACTATGTGAAGACTTACAGTTGATGTGATTGGATCCATACTAGTATAGAATAAGAGTGTCCTCTGACTAGAGTATTATATACTCTGCAAAAAAACAAAATATGAATTTTGTATAATTATGTAAAAAGATCTCCATACCCCGTAATGGCAACTACGGTTTCAATTGGCTTGTGTTGTGGAGGACTCCACTACAATGTAGGTTCGTTTTCCATCCTTGTCAATGGAATATTATCATAATAGTGTCTGGCTTGCTTCGGGTAAAACTCTAGGGAGGGTTGTAAAGGTGGACACGAATACTCGAATAGCTTATGTTAGGATGTATATACATAAGTTTTGTGTTATTAGTACCAAATCATGTAAATAGGGCTCAAGCCCATGTAATTATTGATATAAGGGTTGAATCACCCAAAGCATCACTTGCCTTTATCTTTTAGGCAAACAGTCGGCCTTGAATGAGATTTATTTACATGTAAACTAATTGTTTTCTATTGGTGCCATTAAAAGTATAAAGCAGCCTGGATTTATTGCATTAATTTTTGCATATTTCTTAGCTCCAGATTTTCCAACCGTTTTCTAGCTATGCCATTAAAAGCAAAAGTGGGCCTGCTTAATTGACATTAATTTCACCAGATTTCTCAACTCTAGATTTTTTAGCAATTAATTCATTAGATTTGGTAGGTCCAAATTTATTAGTGTGTATTGGCATTTAGTATTCCTTCTAGTTCATTTTACAATAACCACGTGCGTCCCAATAATTGATTGTGCAATTACTTGACTGATATGAGCTCTCTCCATTATTCTCCCACCATTGCTTCTTGAAATATTTTCATTTTCAGCATCAATTAAACCATTTATCTCCAACGGTGTGTGTCTAATGGGTTCCCTTCATTCACTTTTTGTAACTCTCCTCATCATTTGAATTGACAACCCTTTGGCCTCTTGATGTCTAGAATGTGCAATTATCCATGAGCCATAATTAGATGCAGCCTTGTTCACCTAAAACCTTGTACACCTTTCGTACTCTCTCCAGATGTGTTAACACCTCGTTATCCCTCATCCTTCATGCCTTGTTGCGCCTCCATGGCCATCACTGCCTTAATCAGCTCAAATGGACAAGGTTTTATGTCGTTGACTTCCACATTCAAAGAAAATTTTTGAGACCAAAGGTTTATTTAGATCCACTTCAACACAAAATCTAGTAAATTTATACGTAGGAGCCTTCAAAGTATTGGAGGTCACCCTTACAACCTTCCCAAAAGAGTTACTCAGTGGGAAGGAAACTTACAATTTTAAAAAGTTTAGATTTTAGTTGAGTTCACATCACAAAAAATACCATGGCTGCAAAATTATATACATACATACATATGTATACGTATACATTTATATGTATATATATTGTTGAGATATATAAAACCATTAATGTAGCCTCATCCAACAGCTTAAGCTTTTGGGTTGAATTGGTTCTTTACATGGTATCAGAGTCTCGTGTCCCGGGTTCGAACCTCTCCGCCCTCCACTTTCTTTGTAGTGGAATTTCTTTCCTCGCACAGATTGGTGGACCTGTGCATTGTCCACCCTTCAAGCCCCCAGTGGGATCTCGTGTGAGGGGGCGTGTTGGATATATAAAACCATTAATGTAGCCTCACCTAACAGCTTAAGCTTTTGAGTTGAATTGATTCTTTACATATATATATATATATATATATATATAAATTGTTGTTGATCTCACTTATATCTAATAGTTCTATTTTTATTTTTGTGAGTGATTGGATACAAGTGAATCAATGACCGAGAATAGGTGTAAAGACACTGATAGGGCTCAACTTCACAAGGCCCAATATGGTAAAGTTTATGTTAGAGACCGTAATAGGGGTAAATGGCCCAAGAGGAATATTAGTGAGGTTGTGTCACATTCCATTGAGCATGCTGAGTCAGATGGTTTGTTACAAAAGTTTGTTACTCATGATGTGCCTGAAGAGGATATAGGAGGGATGTGAACGTGAGAAACGACATCGTGGAGGTCATTTGGTTTGCTGATGCAAAATGGGAGATCTCAGGGCATCTCAAAGGACCCTGAAGCATTTTAGATTCTGTTAATCTTCTTTATTTTTCTTCTGCAATATCTGAGCTATAGCAACACTATAGTGTGTAATCAGATTTGTTTCTTGTTGAACCTTGTTAATTTTGCTGGAATGAAATTTACATAGAAGAATTATTCTGGAAATTCTGTTGTTTACTGTTTAATTCCTATCAAATTGGTATCAAAGCTCCGACTGGGAGCTGGGTTATGGTGTGAACGAGAACAATGGAAGGATTGGAAGAGCGATTACGTCGAAGAGAGATAGGACAAGATGAGTTGATCAAACGAATGGAAGCGAGTGATATAAACCAGGCTGAGATCATCAGGCAGTTGAGGGAGCTTGGGGCTGGAATCCAAGAACTCAGATCTGAAGCATTTAGAGACGAACGGAACTTTGGGGAAAGGACGAGAAGTGGTTCCTCTGGTTCGAATGGAAATCGTGATGGGCAGGTTACGGAGAGCCAAAGTGCAGGAAGCTTAACTTTCCTTCGTTCTCTGGGAAAAACGCGTACGCTTGGTTAAGCAAAGTGGAGAGGTACTTCCAAAGTGAAC